TGGAAACTTAGTTTAGTACTCACATGCTGTGTGGTGGCCGCTTTCTGTCAGTGTGCTTCGGATGTGTGTGCTCAGAAAACGTATACAAGAAGTTTAAACTCATATGGTTTAAAACGCATGATTTCAGAGCGATAAACATGATAAATATTTTTGACTGGTGGTGGATGAGGAGATACCCCCTGACAATGTGAAGCGCTTTGAGTGCCAAGAAAAGCGCTATATAAATGTAATGAATTATTATTATTTATTATAATCAGAACCAAAACAAATGTTTTTAGCAGGTCGGAGCTGTAGCAGCAGCTGCTCTATTCTGGAAAAGGGGGTGGGGAACAGCAGCTCATTTGCATTTAAAGAGACAGGCCCGAAAAACAGTGCATTTCTGCTTCCACTCAAAATAGGCATTTTCAAAATGATATAATAAATGGTCTGTGGAGTATTTTGAGCTGACACTTCACAGACACATTCTGGGGACACCAGAGACTTATATTATGTATTGTAAAAAGGGGCATAATATGTCTCCTTTAAGCTATTAAAATTATGTAGGTCCATGAACAGGGACCATCATCTTCATGGACTTACTGTAAACCTACTACAATGTGCTGTATAAAATAAAATGAGAAAAGTTATGACATATGAAAGTTCATTGTGTGAGGTGAAATGCAAAATACAAGTGAAAAATCACATGAGAGGAGGCAGTGTATGCATAACACTATAGCTATGTTCACACTGGGCTTTGATTTTGAAAAACTTCCGGAGAATCAGGACTTATTTCTGGACTGAAAACTTCTGGACTGATCAGGACTTATTTTAGCCTGCAAAAGGATTTATGATTTATAATATATCATTTAAATTATAATATAGTAATACTGTGATGCAACAATATTACACAAACACAAAAAAAGTCATATTAAGACAACATGTTAGAAAAAGAAAATAAATGGAATAATTCTTGGGCTGCAGGTTCCTCTGACCTGGTGTCAGGTTATTTGACAATGTATTAAAAATGTGTATTTTTAGAAATGTTATATATTATCTTGCAAGACACAAATAATTTTGTCTCTTCATTTTAAATGGACACAATTTAATCATCATTTAATCATGTCAGGCAAGCTGACAAATCTGTTTTCAATATTATTGGGATATATTCACGTTATAATGACATTTAATGATCTATAAGCATTTCAGAGAAATCTTTATAAATGTATTATATAAAACTATATCACCGGTGCACCATAATTCTACAAATAAACTGGTTTGAAACTGATAGAAAAAGATTAGACTTAAAACATTTCTTATCCCTGTTATCAGTATAATAGTATAGATGTAATGATTATTTCTCTACATCTAAATATTTTTAATTCAACATAAAAAAACAATGAAATATTGAAATATTAAATTATTTTAAGAAAGAAAATAACTGTACTCTATACATGAAACTAAAAGCGCCAATAGGTGGCGGCAAATGCTCTCTGAATGAGTGAGTTATTCAGTCATTCATTCAACCGATTAATTCAAACAGCTGATTCATTCAAAAAACAAAGCACTGTCTTTGTGAATGGCTCACTGAATCATTGGCTCAGTCGATTCATTTAAAAACGTGGATTCATTCATGAATAACCGCTGTGTGTTGATCAGAGATGTACAACAGTTCTGCTAAGGCTTTATAGGTAATATTTTCGCTGGCGAAATTGCACAAAAATAGACAATACTGATAATATTGTGTCTAAAATGTAACACAAAATTAACTTATTGTTTATTGAACGGTTGTATAAAATAAGTGCAACATTTGCAATCATGCAGATATTCGGGAAAAATCAGCTCTCTTGCTCGTGTCGTGTGATATTGCTAAACTCATATTATATTAAGACAAACCCATCCATATTTTATAGGGGTGTAACGATTCATTCGTTTTCTCGATGCATCGATTAAAAACACTGACGATGCAATGCATCGGTGTTGAAACATGGATTTTTCAATCGTGAATCGCCTATTTCGGACAGTAATCGATTTAAAACGCTAAGAATCGAATGAATCACGATTTCTATAGCGATTCAATGCTTTCAAAATATATACACATTAAATTACTACAAGCACGAATTAATGGAGACCTTGAACAGTGTTTGTGCCCTTGCATCTGACACATTTTTTTGAGCAGCTGACATGTGATCTCTCCTTAGTACTCGTGGCCAGTAATGCTAAAGTGAAGTAGTTTTACTTTTCTGTAGTTTTTTTTAATGGCTCTCGGTCATACCGACGACCATGCACTCATGATTTTGAGGGGGCATGAGTGGGGTGGGGGCTCGTCATGCTTGTCATGTGACACAGCAGCCACAATAGCATTGTATGACTGATATAGGCTTATGTTTTATTTTATTGTTTTCCTTTTTATTCAAAATATTTCCAAACGTGTTAACTATATTAGGTTTGTTCTTTTGAAGAAGGTAAGACAAATCTAGTTGCAGAAGATGAATAGCATCAGATGACAAATAACGGTAATATGCCAAGGATCTGCCAAGCTAACAAGTATACTGTACATGTCCTGACAGGATGTGGATACTACATACTTGTATAAAAATGCCTTGGAAGATAAAATAGCAGTAATCCTGGAAGACCTGAACTTTTTCAAGAGCTTCTATGAACAGGTAATGCAAACTCACATGCATGAATGAAACAGCTGAACATCCTGAGATTAATCGGAGGACTTCACTTCACCTCTCTTTCTCTGTAGGAGCTGCGTGAGCTGCAGGCAGACGTGAAGGACACGTCCGTTGTGGTGCAGATGGACAACAGCAGGCAGCTGAACATGGAGAAGATTCTCGCTGATGTGAAGAGCCAGTATGAGGAGATTTCAGCATGCAGCCGAAAGGAAGCTGAGGCCTGGTATAAAAACAAGGTGAAGATCACACCTCTGACTTTTAGAGAATGTTGAGATCTCTTCTGAAACACTAGAGGAGAAACATGAGATTATTGAGGCCTTTTCTCAAGATAAAAGTCTGAGTAGCTGTTGGAGCCTTAAAGGAACACTCCACTATTTTTGAAAATAGGCTCATTTTCCAACTCCCCTAGAGTTAAACAGTTGAGTTTTACAATTTTCTAATCCATTCAGACGATCTCTGGGTCTGGCGGTAGCAGTTTTAGCTGTAGCTTAGATAGATCAGTGAATCTGATTAGACCGTTAGCATCTCGCTCAAAAATGACCAAAGAATTTCTATATTTTTCCTATTTAAAACTTTACTTTTCTGTAGTTACATCGTGTACTAAGACCGACGGAAAATTTAAATAGGAAAAATATCGAAACTCTTTGGTCATTTTTGAGCGAGATGCTAACGGTCTAATCAGATTCAATGATCTATGCTAAGCTACAGCTAGAAGTGCTACTGCCAGACCCGGAGATCGGCTGAATGGATTTGAAAACGGTAAAACTCAACTGTTTAAATCTAGTGGAGTTGGAAAATGAGCATATTTTCAAAAATAGTGGAGTGTTCCTTTAAGTATCAGATATGGGTGTCATGCCATAAAATATTTTCAATACGACTGACTTTGTATTTCATGAGAATTCAATAACAATATTGTAAGTTACTAACATTTTCATTTTACAGAGCAAAGAATAATCGTGTGTGATTGGTTATAATGCAGCGCTGTACAAACGCGTCTTTCTCTGGCTCAGCGGCGGCCACAGAGCGAACGCAGATTTGAATTTAGCAGCTGGTGATGTGTCGCACTGAACGTTCTAATCACACCGGTGTGATTGTATCAAATATAAAA